TTTTGAATTCAAATTTCACTTATTTCTTTATATGTTATATGTTATAGGTCATATCTTGAATATATCTGTAGGTTTTTTTACGTTTATATAATATACATATATTTAAGAATACAATACTGAAAAGATGCGAAAAAAGAAAAGACTATATCCAGTTACAGTTCTTAAAAATTCGCTATATTCGTGTAGCATATGGTTTTTGGATCAATTAAGCTTCTATCATGTGCATAGGTAGAAAAAAAACTTTTTTAAAAAACCAAACAAAATTTTTATAAATATTTCGATATAATTTTTTTGTTGTATTTTTTTTTACCTGGAAGACCAGGAGCTGCATTCTGTGCCAGTTGTGTTTCATCATGTGATGACCGACGTCGCATACGCATTTCTTCCCGTGTCAATCCGCCCGTAGCTTGAGCGGCTGCAGCAGCAGCTGCCGCTGCGGCACGCGATTGTGCTTGATGTTGTAATAACGCAGCCGCTGCAGCTGAACCCGGTGTTTGTCCTGTATTATGCATGACATTACCCGGTATGTTGCCTAGAAGTTGTTGGCGTATATGCTCACGAAATTCACTACTCAAAGGCACTGGCTGATTTTGCTGCCCGCCAGCTACACCACTTCCACTTCCAGGCATTCCCATTGCGTTTGGGTTTGGCTTACCAAACTCTTGTGCAGCTTGTGCTTGAACACGATGGCGGCTATATTGTAATTCTAGTGGTAAATTACGATCTAGTGAACGCATATGATGTTCTATGGTTGGACGCATAGAATGCTCTGCAGCATTGTTAGCAGCTACGTTTTGTAGCTGTTGTGTGCGTAACTGTTTCAACTCCTCAAATGATTGTCTTGCAGCAGCCGCTGCACTGCCTACGTCACGACTTTCATCTAATGAAAGGTGACGTTCGTATGCTGCTGCTCGTAAATTAACAATATGACGATTAGCACCAGTAAGTCCGGCCTTAAAGTTTAAATCAAAATTATTTTGAGCAGCCACGACTGCTGCTTCCATTGAGCGCAAATTCATTTGTTCCTGCATAGCTCTTTCCATGTTGCGTAGCCCACTTTCTATCCCACGCAACGCATCTTCGGAGCCAAAATCTTCACTAGGTGATAGACGTGCTACATTTTTCTTAACATGATTTTCAGGTTCTCGTACTGGTACTGGTACTGGGGAAAGCACAGATCCTTTTGTACTGCTTTCATTGCCTAAGTTAATGGGTGGATCGAAAGGATTTGAGCTACGTTTTATTTCGAATTTTTCTGGTGGCGGAGGTGGCTTCTCTTTAAATTTAACTGCCGCAAGAGGAGAGTTTTGTGCACTATTATGTGCTGAACTTTGTGTTGACGTCGGTTTCTTAGGCAACGGTGGCGGTTGACGGCTAGGTGGTGGCATTGGTATGCCATCTGGTAAGCTTTTAAGGCTATGTCGTTTTGGTGGTATCTCTGGTGGCGGTGCACGTTCTGCGGAACGTGCCGGAATGGCAGGAACTGGCTTGTTGTGTTGCAGCGGCAGTGGTGGCTGCCCAGCGCCAATTTGCGGCTTTGGCGGCAAATTATGCGGCGGTGGTGCTGGTAATTGCTGCACTTTATCATCTTGCGAGGCTTGTTTACGTAGGATTTGTTGTGCGCGTATGGCTGCTTGTGCGGCAAGCTCTGATGTAAGACGTGGTATTTCTGGGGCCACTTTAGGCAGATCATTGTCATTAGCTTTGGTAGACATGTTCAAAATTATATTTATTTGTGCGATTGTATTTTGGTTATTTCATTTAACGTTATTTGTTTTTATACTTTTGCTTTGGAGGTGCTCAGTACTTAAAGATAAAATAGTAAAAATAGTTTTTTGCATACTTTTAGTTGGAAAACTACATAATAAAAAAAAAAAACATCAAACACGTTGAGTGTCAAGTACACGGACCGGCTTTTTCGTTTGTTGTAGTTCTGATACGCAAATACTGGAATGAGTTTGTTTATCAAACAAAACTCAACATGCTCCTTTCCAGTTGTACCCTACAAAGTGTGACATGAATTGTTGCGCACAATTTTACTCTCTTCAGTTCTCACTTTTCTACACTCCTACTCTTCACTCTTATTTTGATTATTTTTTATTCAATGTTTTTTGGTGAATACAGTATTTCATTATTTACTGCAAGTTCACCACGCTAAAAATTCGGTGAGTAAACAAAGTGGGACCTTGCCGGCATACATAGTCTTTTGTTTTCAAAAATTTTTACTATCGTATATTTATGTGCAAATAATATTTCTATAGTATGTACGTATACGGTTCTTTACATCACCAACAGCAGCTCACTTAAAACTTTTGTCCGAAACTTTCTTAACTACAAGAGCCCAAAACTTTTTACCAACAAACTTTGAGTTGGAACTTAACTCATTGCTACTAAACAATAAATTTTTTAAATTAATATCCGTAATTTGGTTTAGGTAAGGTAAATACAAAACTTTTACGTTTTTACGGTTGAACGCCTAAAACTGCGTTCAGAACAGCGGCTGACCTGCTTATTTCCAAGCACAGTCGCTATAGATGTCGGTATGGGGATTTCCATAAATTTTCTATGTATTCATTTCTGTTTATTTTTTTGTTGATTTTTTGCTGATTATTTGCAATTCAAATAAAAGCCGGCTGTGCTTAATTGCTGGCTACTAAATCACTTTTTTGTGGCTAACTTAATAAGCCCGAAAGTGCACTACGAAAGTTAAGCTAAAGGTAAAATAATTCAAAGCTTTTATAAGAATTTATTCAAATAATTCTTTTATTCTTTTATATTTAACAATTTTAACGGACTAACGCAAACATTAGTATCATGATACATTAACTATAACATATAGTTAATATATAATCTATAACATATAGCGACAGACGCAATAATAAAATAACGCAATAAACAAAAACCTCTAGAGAAAATGTTTATATTACGCTAAGACTTGTTAAAGAAATTATAATTCTGAATTAGGGCGGAGAATCGAAAATATTTATGAAGCGGTTTGAATTTCTGTGACGGAATGATACTCCCAACTATTGATCCACCATTTTTCTAATGCACAACCACAATGGTTCGGATTCTGGCTTGATTCAGCAATAAAAATAAATACATATAAATAAATAAATATTATATTATTACATAAAAATTATTATAATAATTCCTTTAGAGATTATCCTAATGTAATAATACGTACGTTTTTACGACTTTATTATAAATATTAAAGTTTTAGCTCTAAAGCATTTAACTATATAAGTGTTTATCTTCCTTATAAAATATAGATAAAGAACGGTTATTATATAACATTTTAATGTTTAGAAACTGTCGATGATCATTCATATCGAATTATTATAATTGGTAACTAGGAGATATACTCTCCCCTATTTTAATTTCGTAATAAATTATATATCACCTATATGTATAGTAATATATGTATGTAATGAAAAGGCTTAGTCTGTTGCTTTAGGAAAATATACAACTTAGGTATTCCCGATCTCAAGTGAACAATAACTGATAATTGAGTTTGATAACTGATTATCATAGTAAATTGCAAAGTGTCCACAAAGTGTACTCTGTTTTTGCCATGTTACTCGATTATTGAGCATGTATTCGAGATCGTGCATACACCTAAGAATAAATAAATTATTATTAAGGCGGAAATATTCATTTGTAAATGAATATACAAATATTCTTTTATTTATTTTTGTAAAATTATCATATAAATAGCGGTATTCTTTTTGCACTCTGAATTTGATCTTTAAACGAACTTCTCTTATTAATTTCAAGATGTAGAATAGTTTTATAACGACCTTTGAAAATTCGTTGAAACGATGCAAATTATTCACACTAATTACTTGCAGTGCTAGGGAAATTATGTCATTTAATCTACGAATCAAAAGGAATATACCAACGGGTACTTTAAAAAACTCAGTAGGACGACTTGACATACAATTAACTCAAATATTTACAGCATCCTTCACTCTTTATTAAATTCTTTGAAAATGCCTGAGGACTTTTTTTACTATTTCTAATCGGCACAAAAAAAAAACAACAAAAAAAAACGACAGAAAAAGTGGAGTAATTTGCAATTCCTTTCTTCTACATTTTCTTTTTTTTTGCGTTTTATTTGTGTTTTGCTCCATAGTCATGTGCTTTGTGCTGTTATTTTATCCTTTTCAAACTAAAAGTATGCAATTAAAAATCGTTGCTTCGAAATTGATGGTCGCACTTAAAGGAATTTCGGTAATCCCTTCGAAAGCATCACCGCATTTCAAGGCAAGTAAGCGAACCTCCTCATTGGTGCATTAGGGAAGCGAAAACAAGCACACAAACTCCTTAAACAGTTGTATTTTGTACTTTTTCATTTGCTATCTAATTCCTACAGTTCATTTTAAACGATTTTTATAAAAATTCGGTTTAAGGCGGATTTATGCCTTATTGACACACATTTTTCGAGCACAAGCTAATTTTTTTTCATTTTTTTATCACTTCTTAATGAAGCATTAAAACGGCAATTTAAGCTAAAAATTTGTTTTATTTTTATACGTTCACTGTTTAACCACACAGAGTCCACGGCAAATAGACAGCGGTAAGTCACTCTATTTGGGTTTACTTTTCGAAACCGTGTCGTGCCATACCGTGTGGCTTACATATGCCACCCTCCCGGTATTGATTTACAAACGCCATGGTAGACAAGTGGAAAATATTCACAGTTGCTGCTGCTGTGCGGCTTTTTTTTTGCCATTTAAGTTCAGCTAATAAAATCGATTAAATGTAAGTAATTTTTAGTTTATATTTAATTTATGAGTTTTCAACATTTTATTGGATTTATTCCAAATTATTTTTATAAAGGATTACGGAAAATTTTTAGTACCGCTCTCTCGCACTGATAAAATCACAACCGTTTGTACGCAGTTAAAAATCACGAATGCTCAACTACGGCTGACTTTCACCATGGAATTGCCTCAAAGTTTACTATTTTTACTCTCATCATTCACGTACATTTTCCATTCTTTACGCTTTTTATTTTCTTTCTATTTATATTATTTGTTTTTCTCTTCTTTTTCATATTTCCTTTTGTCTTTCAGTATCTTCTTCTACCTTTATACAATTTTCTTCTTTTAACTTTTAACAACAAAAAACAAGCAACCCCCCACAAACCAACAACAAACAACAACAAACAGCAACTCAACTCATAAGCGGCATGCAATATTTTATGAAAATTTCAACACCCGCACGTCTCCTTCGGCCTTTGCAGTTGGAGGGTGAACCACCTTTTTCGCTGAGTGTCACGTTTATTATTGTTTCTGTTTGCCAACCTCAGCGTAATTGTAGTATCGTTCCTGTGCTTTCTACTCTATTTATTCATCACTTTTACTCATAGATTCCAACATAGTTGGCATCCTTTACATTGTGTTTATTCTCACCACGTCTTTACGCATTATTCACCACTTCTTCAATTCTCTTTAAAACTTTGCGCATAAGCAGTTGGCAGTTTAAATGCAGTGGAAGATTAGCTAATATAGTGACATTTTTAAAATTGTTCAAAATTACTCAAGGATATTTGTTAAATCCTTTTATTGGAAATTTTTTTCAAGGAAAAGGAATTAGTTTAGAAGAATTTTAAAAATTGTATTTTCAAAAATATTCGTAGATTTTAAACTCGCAATTTTTTCCGAATAACTAGTCTAAATCATTCACAGCTTCGATTAGTATGGTGATCTTGGGAAGTGGAAATTAACAAAGTCCGAATCTAATTGTAATATGATAACACAACTATAAGACATAGGAAGTCTTTCCGCTGTGACTATAAACAATTGGCTATGTCATTCTAATGCAACAGGAGAGACCACTATAAAATTCAGAGACCTAGATTATTGAAAATAGAAATCAAAATCAAGTCTTTGAATTGCCATTTTGGTTAATTTTCTTATCCTTTCCAATAATGTAATACTGTACAATTCGAGTTATACTACATTCGCATATACTCATATATCCTTTAATGCGGAAAAATAAAGTTTTGATAGAACTGACTAAACTATCAATTTAGGCATAATAAATTTTTGACAGTTCGAGTTTTATTAAAATTTTACTATATGTATAACACATAGTTAATACGTACGTCTCTAAAACGTATGCCATTACACAGTACATGCCGCCACTGCAGAAAGTGAAGCTCCAACGCAATAAAATGTCAGTCAACTTCTCTGGCTATATGAGACAAGCTTACTTTGAGATGGTTAAGCAAATGGGTCCCTAACATTTGTCATAATATCCGAAATAAATCGAATATATTTCACAGATTAAAATGACTTTAAATATTTTATAATAATATTTTATTAGAAATTTTTATATCATCCATTCTATATAGGTTATGTTAGATATATCAAGCTGTTTATAATGCGAAGTGGGATATAGAGAAGATCATGATATCGATAAATATTTCTAATAATCATTAAAAAAGGAATCGATTTGGCGAAACCTGTATGTCTATGTGTAAGTTACTCATTTTGCGTTTAAGATAATTGAATAAATAGACAAATCCAATACTAACTTCTCTTTTGTTCTT